GGGGGGAGAAAGAGAACTGTCTATGTTGGGCCATTACTCATATGCATATTTGCCACTTCCTCGCTAATGAGCAGAACGCACTAAAATAACAACAACCGCGAACTGACGCCAAAGAGTATTCTTTTACTCTGGAGACGAGTGCTGTAAATCTGTTCTTGTACGCGAACTCAGTGTCTAAACAGAAAGAAAGAGGGTATGATACACCACAGTAACTATTAACATCTTGGCATAATATGTTCGGTGGTCAGGAAAATACAGGCAGAAAACGCAGTCTCACGAACTAAGATTAAACCCCAAAAAACCCCAAACAAACTACAAAAATATTTGCTTTTTGTTGAATTTGAATATTAAAGTTAATCAAGAATTTTATATCGTTTATCCTCCTTTTATGTCGGCAAATTGTGCCAACTATGATTACGGAAGTAGCTACGGCGTTTATTTTTTTCTTATTCTTTTTCCCCCTAATATACCCTTTTCTACCTTCATGGCACTAACAGAGACAGAAAAGTACAGGGTTTAAAAAAAGAAAATTTTTTAATGTACAATTTTTTAATTGATATTTTCCTCCACACTGAATTTTTGCGTTTCAAATGGGTACACAACATTTGGAAGTCAAATTTGTCTGATATTCATTTTAGATAAATCCACAAAATAGTTTTGTTCTATGATATAGCGCGTAAAAACCCCCAATCTATTTCCAGTTATGTCCCCATTTTTTTAAAAGCGTGGCGCATTAGTTCGCATTAGGCCTACCACTAAACATCCCCTACGATTGCGGCACGTCGTAAACTACAGTAGTCTAACAGGCCTACAGAAATTTGCAGATAATTTTTCTCAAGTTTCCTTTACCTGCTGAGATCATGGTTAAGATTAGTAAAGAGCAGAGAGCTTTTTATATTGATCACCACCACCAACTCATTTCGTAAGTTTCGCACAAGGTACGGAAATAATGTTAAAGTGCCCTGAAGGCCTTCTTTAGTGTCAAGGATTGAAAATGTCCATCAGTAAGGACCTGTAGAGACTCAGAACTAAAAATTCCCTAACAAAACGAACACTTCAGGTCAAACACACACCGTTAGCACCCTTTTAAACGTCACCATGGTCCAGAATTCATTAGATGAGCTCCATGGGACGTCTGTCCGTAGACAATGTATGCAGCAATGACTTTCCTACATCTCAACGGTCCGCTTTCCCAAAGCGAATCTTCTTCTAAGACTATTCCATTTTCCTGTTTGCGAAGCTTTAAGACTCCTCGATGGTCTTGAAAAGGGTGAACATTTCCTCTATGACATTTGGTTTCTTGGCAAAGCCCATATTCACCTTTCAAGTTATATAAACTCCACAAAATATGCTGTCTCTTTGGGCAACCTCACCCCCGTTTGTCTCCAGAAACAGCTCCATACTGTAAGTTGTACAATGTATGTGTGGCTTTGAGTACTCATGGTTGAGTGGATCCTTATGTTTGGCTACCATTGGTTCTCGGAATTCCCTACTCCAGAAATACTTTTTTAAAAACTCTGTAGAAGAAAAAAAATATTCAAAGGTTACAGGGAAGCAAAGATTATATCTTTAAAATAAAAGGAAAGGAAAAAAACAAACCAATCATTTCATGCATGACTTTCCTTACAAGATCTTTTAAATTGGTGCATTTTGCATTTACAGGTGATTTTTATAAAAGCCATTTCCGTTTTCGAAAATAGGTTTCTTTTTTTTGTGAATTTTAGGTCAAACAAATTCCTTTCGAATGAATTATATCTGTTCCAAATTACAACATTCTGGTACAAATTTTGTTTGAGATATTTAGAAAAAAGTTTTTTGTTTTACCACCCTGATATCGCGGGTGGTTCGAGGGCGCCACAGGAGGTCCTATTTCTTTACTCTCCTTCTGTTGTTTCTGTCTCTCTGTTTTACATTTTCTTACCAAGTCGATGTACTTCTCTTTACTCAAACAAAAAGAAACAAACAAGAGAAGTACAACCAACTAATAACTATATTATGCCAGTACCTAGTTCTGAGACATTTGACGTAAACAAATTCGCGTTTGACAATGTGTCACGCTTTTTCGAATGCAAATTTTTGAATATCTTGATTACAAATCCGGATAAGCTTACGGTTTTGATCGAGCAGATAGAATATTTGTTTCTGACTCCATGGTCCTAGAAACACAAAACGCCAAATGTCAGATAGAACTTTGTAATTCTAAGGTAGCGAAATGTCAGTGCAAACTTAAAAGCCATTTTTCTACCTGGAGCAATATGACCCTTCAAATTGTGTCAGAAAGCCACAGGAAAGAATCGCGATTCTCCTTTTTTCATTCAAATTACAGACATTTCTTCTTTTGTTCAATTGAATCCGTCAAATGTTTCTGAAATGCTAAGGCTTGGAATAGAAAGATTTAAAAAAATATATCTTATAATAGGCTCCCCCACTATAACACAAGCACAATGCAGCACAAAATAATAGAGAGGGTGCTCACATGTCTGACAAAGCTGTTTACACGTTAGCAGCACCCCAGATGTAAACAAATTATGCAGTTCTGACATTTGCCCCTTTTTAATGTCAATTCTACTCATGGTAAGGCAACGTAATTTGAATACTTTGATCTATGATGAAATGAAAAGCCCGTGAGACCACAGGAAGAGCTGAAAGCTGAAACCATGTGGAAAATAAAAGTCCAAGGTAGGGCTCAATCACATCTTTACAAACCACCATGACGGATGAGTAGTTCTTCTATGTGTGACATACTATAATGAGCCAATTTTCAACAGAAACTCCCATCCCCTTTTTTCTGCATGTCTGCCTGCTGATGTGAGATGTAAAACGATAGCACAGCATGTCTAACAACATTTTATAAATACCGACGACCCTAAATCGGAGTCGAAAAATTACAAAGTAGAAATTTCATACTCGCGGCCTTTTACACCTAAGTTAATTAAATATTAGTGTGGCCAGCACGCCTTTCTCACAGGTACCTTTTTGCTGAGGTGTTGCCTTGGATTTTAAATCACTTATGTCTATAAACAAACATTGAGAAGACTAAACAGTCATATCGGTACTTTAAAAAATACATGTACTTGTCTGTGGAATAATTGATATTACTCAGGCTCACCCCGGGCTATGTCAATTCCAGCATTATTGGGTCCACCTAAGCCTCAGACTTTTAGGCTACAGGGTTAGGGTAGGGTTTTCAGTTTTATCAGAATCTATGAGTAGTAATTGGTCTCCGAGCCTTTTGTTTGTTTTGGTAAGTGTTTTACGGCTCTCGCAAAGGCATAAGGTGATATGGGCGAGAGGGACACATTAAACATTTTTAGTTTGGTAGGAATTAATTTTTTGTTTTTCCAGGGTGGCGGTCAAAGCCTCCTCTTATCGATTTTAGGATCACCGAGGGATCTTTTACGTGCACAACTTGCACTCGGGGCTTCCGAGATTGTTTGCCCTTATCAGAGAAGGCTAGGTGTTCGATCTTGCCTACCCTAAGATCAGGGGTGTGGCTGAAAGACAGCAGAAAGAAAAACCCAAGGAGTAGCAGTAGAAAGGCTGCAGAAAGAGCCAGGAGCCCAGAGGAGGGAGGGGGCGGGGAGGGGATGGGGGGCGGGGGCACCCGTGCCTTTATACGGGGAGCCCACTACAGATGGGATCCGCCGATAGAGCCGATTGCCCGACTAGGTCGCCTAAAAAACAAACGTGTTTGTGTTCAGTTTCCGGCGACCAAGTCGGGCGATCGGTCTGATCCAGCCGTAGTAGGCACCACGTATGTGGCTCACACAATTGGTATTAGCTCTATTAGAATATGGCATCACGTATCGATTCAAGCAGTATCTATTTTTGCTGCCTCCGCCGTGGCAGTCAAAGATCAAAGAACTAAACCAGCGTCTGTGGTGTAGCGCTTAAGTGCTTTGCTGTCGCACGCAAGAGACCCCGAGTTCTGATTCCCATGTGGGGAGGAATTTTTATCCTGTATCTCGGTCTGTCTGCTAGGATGTTGTATCCTTTTCAGCCTGAAACCTACCTCCTAAATGATCTAATTTGTATCGATGGGGGCGTAAAAAATCTACATAAATATTAAAAAAGAAATTAAAGAGCTAAGATCAAAACAATAGTTCCCCCGCAGTTGATCCCCTTAGCTATCGTATTCTGATGACAATGCATTGCATCATCTCTACAATGACCTTTTCAGCCGTTCAACATGCTTATACCCCCCCCCCCCTCCCTGCAGGTGGTTGGATGGTGCCACTGATAGGTTCTTATTCTTTACTTTCCCTCTGTTGTTCCGTCTGTCTTACCTTTTCCTATACTAAAAGACCAATATTGTGTCGATGTGCTTCTCATTACTCAAACAAACAAACAAATCCCCCCACCCCCTTTTTTCACCCTTTCACCTGAAGTGTTACTTCTCCTTTTCACTTTTCTAAGGGAAAAGGGGGCTACCTACGACCCAACATAACGGTTAACATGGAATGTATGACAAAATGTGTCATTAATACTATTGGCTCCATCCTATTCACTGCTTCATAATTATTTTCAGATGGATTCGAAACAGGGGCACCACCAAACACCTGCTGGACACGCTACCCGAAGCATGGTGGTCGTGGGACACAGACAACCATCTGTCCTTACGTCATTCGGCTGTCATCTGAAACTTATCTACCAGGACAAGAGATTACTGGTAGGTTGCATAACTTTTGACATGCCAATCTCAGTGTTTTTTTAATTTAGGTGTTTTACACCTCCATCGACACAAATGGATGTTTTAGAAGACGGACTTTCCCCGTGTAGGTTTGAGAGGGACCCAACATCCTAGCAGAAAGACATAGATTCTCAAAAAAGATTTCTCAGCACTCGGAAAACGAACTCGGGTCCCCTGAATAAGGCAGCTAAGCGCCTAACCGCTGCATCACAGATGGTGACAACCTTAGTGTAAGTTTAGGAAGGCAACCATTATCTCGACTGTTGACCTTCTTTGATCCTACTCTGTAAAACTTTTGTATGTGAGGAGACTGTTTCGAACAAAATCCCCGAACTAGCAATATGTTGCCATGGTAACAATAGCGACGATGATATGTAAATTCTCGTAACCCTTTTGTCTCTAATTTTTTATAATGGGTCTCACGCTTAGTCATGTCCGACTCAACTGGTAACTAGGAGCGGTGAACAGAATCGACTCTAAATCTTTTATATAATTTTTTTTGCTACTTCTCCGTAACCATTCCAGACATAAGGCTCACATGTTACCAGCTAATGTAGAAATATGCTGGCTACAATGCTAAATGGGATTTAGGCTTGTAACTTCAATCTTTATTTAAAGTTGGCAAAAGTTGAATTTTCATGAAAATTTAACACGTTACTTTGACACTTCATATAAAGCAAAATGACTAAATTTATCAAAACAAAATTTAGCTTTGTTAATGGCCTTTTGTTAGTCTACATGAAAAGTATCATTGTGTTTGGACAAGCAGTTACGGCGAAGTAGCACTTTAGAATTGTAAACAAAATTCAATATGGCTGCCGTTATCATGGCGCCCATTGTATTTAAATATTTGTCGAATGGCTGTTTTTCATCTCAGCCCCACACTGTGAAATGTTCAACCGGTTTAATAACAAATTACAAAGCAAAAAAACAAACATTTTCTAACAGAAAATTATTTGAGTCTGATGATGATGATGATGATGATGACGATGGTTATGATGATGTTGGTGGTGATGATGATGATGATGATGATGATGATGATGATGATGATGATGATGATGATGATGATGATGATGATGATGATGATGATGGCTTGCATTTGGTTTTTACCCTTTGTGTACAACGTTTTTTCAAAGTCACAATAGAAGACCCAAAGCAACAAAGAACATTTAGCGGCTTCCAGATTGCAGCCTTCCGTAGCGGGAGTAGTGAGCCAGGAAACACAGAGGAGGCCGTGGGTCGCTTCACTCAAGTGCCGGAGGGAAAAGTTCGACTCTTCTCTTGTTTCCCTGGATACAAAGTGAGTGGAGGTTTAAACAATATTGTGTAAGTGTTTTACAATGCTTGCAACTGCATAAGATCATATGAGCGCGCGGGACACATTAAACATTTTCAATTGGTAGGAAATTTAGAAATTTTCCCAGGTGGCGGCCGAAGGCTACTCTTATGGGTTTTGGACCACCAAGGGATCTTTACCGTGTACAACGTGCACACGGGACCTGCGAGACTTTTCGCCCTTATCCGAGAAGGCTAGCTGTAGATCATTCCTACCATAAGATCAGGGAGGTGACTGAAAGACAGCAGTAAGAGGGAGCCAAGGAGTTGTAGTAGAAAGGCTAAAGAAAGAGTCAGGACCCGAGAGGAGGGGGGCAAAGGAGGTGAGGGGGCGGGGGCAGAAAGAGGAGACGAAAGCAAACGACAGAACATCGTTAGAGAGCAAGAAAGGATATGCAATGAGAACAGTTTCCGTCGCTATGCGGATTCGAACCAGGGACCCATTGAATGAGAGGCGAACAATTTATCCTCTAGACCACGAGAGCCTCGTTACGGGAGTTTATACGCAGTTTGAAGATTTGTTTGTTATTAGATTGTTGTATACCGGACTAAGTTGGGTAACAGTTTTTCCAAAGTTTTTATAGAACCATTTCTTTTACATATGAGTATCTCAGTCTTTCAGGAAGGACGTTGTGTCCATCTCAGCCCTGGTTGGCCCTAACAGGCAGTATTGAAGCCCGCTTCCTACATCATCTAAATAGTGTCGGAAGGGGTGTAAAATCACCTACATTTCTGAGATCATTGTCCGTGCAGGGGGACGACCGCTCTTTCTTTGAAATTACTCATTACTTGTCTAGTAGATTGTAATAAAGGTGGGCTCTCGTGGCCTAAAGGTTAAGGTGTTGGCCTCTCATTCTAAGGTCCCGGGTTCGAATCCGGATTGCGACGAAACATTTTCTTCTCTAAAATTGTCTCATTTCACTTCCTTTCCTGCTCTCTAACAATGTTCTATCGTCTGCTTTCGTCTCCACTTTCTGCCCCCACCTCCCTCACCTCCTTTGCCCCCTCCTCTGGGCTCCTGACTCTTTCTGCAGCCCTCAAACTGCTTCTCCTTGGCCCCTTCTTACTGCTGTCTTTCAGCCGCTAGCCACACCCCTGATCTTATGGCATGTAAGATCTACATCTAACCTTCTCGGACTAGGGCAAAACATCTCGGAGGTCCTGTGTGCAAGTTGCGCACATTTAAGATTCCTTGGTGGTCCAAAATCGATAAGAGTAGGCATCGGCCGCCACCCGGGCAAAATTCAAAATTTCCTGCCAACTGAAAATGTTTGGTGTTTCCCGTGCGCTCGTATGACCTTATGCAGTTTCAAGCACTGTAAAACACTAACCGAGAAAAATGTTGTCATACTGCAGCCTACCTTAATCAGAGGCAAACAAAAAAACCCCCCAATACTGGTAGGGAGTTAGACAAGGGAAACGAGAGATAGATAGATAGAGGGAAACAGAAAGATAGAGAGAGAGAGGGAGAGAGAGCGAAAGAGAGAGAGAGAGAGAGAGAGAAAGAGAGAGAGAGAGAGAGAGAGAGAGAGGACGGAAAGAGAGGGACAAAGACAGAGAGAGAGAGAGAGAGAGAGATATATATATATATATATATATATATATATATATATATATATATAGAGAGAGAGAGAGAGAGAGAGAGAGAGAGAGAGAGAGAGAGAGAAGGGGGGGGGGAGGGAGAGAGAGAGAGAGAACAAGAGAGAAAGGAGGGAGAGTGAGAAGCTGAATGATTTTGAAGTAGTGTTAAAATAGGTGTCAACGCTATCTACTAGTGGTCAGTTGCTTCTGCTTTGACTTAGACCAAACAATGAAGCAAACATACAAAAACAATCTATGAAATGCCGACGAAGTGTATCTAAGCTGCCCTTGGCTGCTAACTACCGCAACATGTCATATTAACATCGCAATTTTTATATATTCCCAAGGAACTGCAAACACAACCAAAATTCTTATACATGTGCCTCCCCAGAACATGGCGACACACATCAATGATCACCAGGTGAAGACAATTGTTCTGAAATGGCGCGCCCCTAACATAAATGTTGGAAATCTCACTTTCAGGTAACTAATGAAATAACGAATTCTAATAATAGTTTCCCTTTAGCGTCTTTTGAATTTTCACCATCTCTCTCTCTCTCTCTCTCTCTCTCTCTCTCTCTCTCTCTCTCTCTCTCTCTCTCTCTCTCTCTCTCTCTCTCTCTCTCTCTCTCTCAGTCTCTGTCTCTCTCTCTCCCTCTCCCTCTCTTTCTCTGTGTGTGTGTGTATGTGTGTGTGTGTGTGTGTGTGTGTGTGTGTGTGTGTGTGTGTGTCTGTTATCTGTCTCTCTGTCTTTCTCTGTCTTTCTCTGTCTCTCTCTGTATCTCATCCTCCTTCCCTATCTCTCCCCCCCCCCTCTCCCTTTTCCCATTTCTCTCTCTTTCTCCCTATCTTTATGTAACGCCCGTGTGGTCAAATTGTTTCTTGACATTTTTTCACGTTGCTCAGGTACCCCAGATAACTTTATAATAATATATTTTAACATACTCTTGTACGGTGGGGGTCACAATTCGAATTTATTTGGAATCTAACCTTCCCAGGGAGAAGTCTGTTCTCTCGCAGTTCTCTTTCATGGCTGTTTTCACTTACTTACGCTTTAACCAATATTTTCAAGCAAGAACAACTTTTTAAAACAGCGCATCGAACTTAGTCAAGAAACGTTAGAAAACGCTGTCTTGTTCAACATTACATTTTCGTCAACGGACATTAACATTTGTTGCAGGACTACAATTGTTGCTGATTTTGAGACTTTCTGGACCCGAGAAAAGAAAAGCCTTACCGTGGACCGACGTGTTAGCGCCCCTGTAGAAGGGACGACGTTCGCGGTACGTTGAAATCCACACCACTCTAAAGTACAACCTTTCTTTGTTTTTAAATATCACATACAATTATGCATCCGTTTCTAATAATATCTTTCAATGCAATAATAATATCTATCAATCTATAAAGCATTAACTGTTCTTTGTATATGGGTTAAAGAAAATTCAGCAGTCTTCGTTTGTTTAGGTTCTTGTACGTGAACCTGCTTAAAAAAAAGATTTAGAACTAAGTAGACACAAGAATTACTTGTTAAATTGTTTAAAGTGGTAATTTTTACTTCCAGCACTGGGTTACTTTCATACAAAACAGAGCAAAAACATTCACACTGATTCGTTTTATTTCGCTGTGAGGGGGTATTCCGGCGACGATATTATTATTACGTCGTCGAGAAATTTGACTTGTGGTCCGTAATTTCATTAATTTGTCAAAATTTGAGATAATCAATGAATTCCTACGTCCAGTGTCCGTTCGACTGCACTTTGGGTTAAGATCAATAGCACTGTGTGCACCTCCCTCCTTTATCTTTAAAAAAAGACGGCTGAAAATTCTACAAACAGCTTAATCTTTACAGTTTTTCATTTTAAATTGTTCCAGTTGTATCCTTTCAGGTTTACCCTCTGACTTCACTTGTCAAAAGCGTTGACCTCACAGACTGTGGAGAGACCAAGGGCTGCCTTCTCTATCCCCGCCAGTGCACTGGCAACAACTGTATCGCCGCCGTCAGTTTCCAGTATCGTGTTGCAACAGACGATTTCTTCATCGAAATGTATTCAGATGCTGCAAAGAATTACGTCGCTGTGGGATTTTCGGCCGACAAGAAGATGGTAATATTAATTATATTGTGGTAGTTGTTTGATTGCTGTAGATTTGTGTCCAGGTTTCCCCTCTATGATGTCAGTTTTATTTATTTAAAAAAAATAGTTCTAAATACGTGTAACTAAATAAGAAATATTTCCGTATTTGTTAGACGGCTGTATCACTCTGAACCCTTGCTAGCCCTAGCAGGCAGGATTGAGAATTTATTACCGCTTATATGATCATGAAGTGTGAATGTAAAACATCCAGTAGTTAATCTAATCTAAGCTATCCAACTAATTTGTTTGTCTTTTAGGACAATCAAGTAGAACATGACACTCAAAGTTCATTATAGATGGTGAAACTACCATGGAACTAATAAAGACAAACACACTTACTGCTGATCTTCAAAGCGTAAAGCGCAACAAATGATACTTGATCACCGCGAGTCTTCAGCATACAAGGTAATATGCCTTGCTTCAATGTAGATGAACCTGATTTGAATCCTAAAGGGAAAGTTCTTGAACATGTATTATGTGGAGAAGTTTTCTAGAGTCCCCAACCATTTGCTAGGCCACATAGAGCATGGGCGTCAAATTCGGAAGTTCCTCCAATTTGATAATTTAAAAAGGCGTTGAGCCCACACCATGGTTGACAAATTAATAATAATAATAAATAGCATTTGTATATCGCATGTCCCCACTGGAAAGCAAGCTCTATGCGTTTTACACTATATTAATACCCCAGCAGACCATGGACACTCAGAAACATTCTCAGCTTCCCGGGAAGCATACAGTGCAAGCAGCTGGTTAAGCGCTCAAACACTAACAAACTGACAAGATCTTTCACTGTCTACAGCTGGGTACCCATTTTCACCTGAGTGAAGTGAGGAAAATTCGTGTAAAGTGTCTTTCCCAAGGACATAACGTCGGGCCCACGGCTCGAATCCCCGAACCCGCAACCTCACGATTACGTGTCCGGTAGCCTAACCACTAGACTACCGACGATCTCTTGTCTGAAATAAATTTATCGTTTATAGGTTTGTTTGACCTATTCATTTGTGAATGGAATGGGTTCACTTATGAGTACCACTTCTATTTCTCCCGAAGATATTATTTTGAAAAAATAATGTCAACACTTTAGCAAGACGGATTGTCTGTAGTAGTGGTCTCATTAAAAAAAGTGCAGTATCTTTCCCAAAGTGTAAAACGTCTAAGGTATGTCTGCCATGAAGTTGCTTTTATACTTCTACTTCAGCAGAGAACGTGGTTTAGGCGGCTCTCGTGGTCTAGAGGTACGGTGTTCACCTCTGACTCGATAGGTTCCGAGTTCAAAACCTGACAGCGACGGAAATTTTTTCTCCAAAACGTTACCCTTTTACCTCTTTTCCTGCTCTCTAGCCATGTTCTGTCGTCTGCTTTCGTCTCCACTTCCTGTACCTCCGCCCCTTTTGCCCTCTCCTCTGGGCTCCTGGATTTTTTCTGCTGCCTCTCTACTACTACTCCTTGGCTCCTTCTTACTGCTGTCTTTCAACAACTCCTCTGATCATAGGGTTGGTAATATATAACACCTAGCCTTCTCAGATATGGTCGAAAATATCTCGGAGATCTCATGTGCAAGTTGTGCACCTTAAAGATCCCTTGGTGGTCCTAAAATCGATAAGCGAAGGCTTCAACGGTCACCCGGGGCAAAATTCAAAATGAATTCCTACCAAAATGGCGCGCGCTCATAAGACCAAATGTAGTTGCGAGCGCTGTAAATCACTTGCCAACAAAAAAGAGCTTTGTTCACTGACTGCATTCATTGGCTTCTTCTCTACTTTCCATACCTTTCTCCTAGGGCCACGAAGAAACAATCTCCTGTGTCGCCCAAGATGGTGAGATGAGCATACAACAGGGGTGGAATCCAGCTCTCTACAATGAAAGATTGCTCACTGTAAGTAAGCACTTCTGGTATTTTCAATGCAGTGTAAATAAACATACATCATAATTTTATAACGCACCCATTGTGGTAATCCTTGCCTAGCATCGAAGCAAGGAAGACAGATCTAGATGTTTTATTGGTTTATTAATAACCTATCAGTTTCCCTCTTCATTGTTTCTATTCATGAAAAAAGAGTTTCACGTAAAATGAATATACGAGTATTTGTGATGTCCTGCGGAAAGACGGCAATTTTCCATATTGAGTGAAACTGCATCGTTTAACAAAAATGACATTTGACCAGTCTCATCGGGCCAGTGGATCTTAAACAGTGGTTTAGGATGGATTTCGATAGGAATAGTCAAGATAGCTCGATTACCCACTTTGGCGTTCTAAAGGACCCTTGGTACGTAATCAATTAAAGGAAAAAAATGGTATTGGCTTGACAGGTATTTCCTTTCGTAAGTCACTCTGTTGCGCGTTAAATCGTATCCAAGATCCAATGCAATTGAAACTGACTCAGAACGATACTTCCAAGTCCTTAATTTGAGGCTGAAATGTCTTTTCTTCTTAGGTCATCCCTGGTAGAAGTTGAAATCAATGTCCTATAGTGGGTTGTTTGTAGATATTATAGTCAGTCGTGTGCGTCTTATATAGGTTTGTAAAAAAATTCAACAGAAGACACGTTGCTGTCTCTATAGTACCACATTTGTTAACTGTTTAAAAATATTGTTCCCAGCGTTATCTTTCTGATATGGAAATCAGACAAGCCGATGGGCGACTTGAGTGCCGCTTTGTCCTGGCACGTAAGTCATACGTGTACCGTATTGATGGGTCAGCAACTCGTCTACAGTATAGCAACCTGACGTATGACCGCGATGACCCGTGGTACATCCAGCTGGCCTGGGGCAAGAGTATGCCAGGTAAATAGTGAAAATAACCTGTAACAGATGAAATAGCTCGCCATGTCTTCTGGAAATAAAGGCTTTATCTAGAAAGTTAAAAAGTAATACATTTTTTAAAAATGTCTTACAACGGCTACGATTCAAAGTTAGATTTTCCAGATTTCTGTCCGGTTTGGTTTAATAGAATTCCTTTTCTTTCTTTTGATAGAAATGGGGAGATGGGACACGCATGGCTATTGATAGCAACATTTCATAGCTTCCCAAGTCTATAATATTTTTCAAATGTTTAATGTGTCCCGCACGCTCAGTTTCGAGCGCCGTAAAACACTTACCAAACAATTTTTTTTCAATGCTACTTTTTCTGCAAGAGATTTACATTTCAAAAAGTCGTAGTGTTCAGAGATAAAGTTTTTACGTACGTGTGTCATATTCCTTCCACGGAAAGTTTACTCAATTAAACAACAATAGCACTGACCATCTAGTCTATAGTATCAAAATTAATCTCAGCCCATCAGGAGACAATTTTTTTACTCTTTTAGGTACAAACTGTTGTTATTCAAAGATTCAGTCTTCGCCACCTGAAGCATAGATTAAGAGCTGTTAACAGCTTCCACAATGCCAACAGAATAAAATATATTGAACTTATTTTACTGCCATTTTGATTCTTTAGCACGTGATTCGAATATTAGCATAAAAGTGAACTTTTAAAAACAACCACAAAAAAGCCAAATATATTATACGGTCGACCGTGATGGTTGCGCTACTAACTCTCTTTTATTCTGAATTGTGATCCAAGAAATACTGGTAATTCGGAGAAGGCATATGAATTAAAAGTCGCCCTAAAAGTGGGTCTTAAAATACCACACTATTTTGTCTGTTTTCTGTTTTCTTCGTTAGAATCCAACGTGATTTCTTATCACAAAGAAATGCCTGCCGTGTCAGATGACAAAATTGTGATGAAGGACATCGCTGTTTACAGAGGTTCTGCTTTTCCCGTCCTTGTTCAAGCTCATGGTTGGTGCTCTGTGAATTCTTAATTCAAACCAAGATAGTGCTTTGGTTGTTTGATGTGATGTTTTGAATTGCATTATTAAAGCTTCTCATTTTGTTTAAATATTGGATTTTTTTTTGTGAGGTGGAACTGAGGGGAGTGTGTCTCCCATCTTCTACTTCTGAAAAAAAAATCTTGTACTGTTAAGTCGAGGCTGTTGCTATTAAAGTGTAAAAGAGCTTTAAAAAGTAAGGACAGACAATTTATAAATCTATTGATACTTTAAAAACTGCTTCCCAAATTCCGTATTTCTCATGTTCTAAACTACATCGCGAATTTCTTATTTCTCATATTTTCCCAGTGGCTTTAATGGTGGTCAGCTGGATATTCCTCAGCGGCATAGTGACTGTGTTATCAAGACATTACCGAAACTGGATGCCTCGTGTCAGGATCTGTGCCACCAAAGTTTGGTTCCAGGTAACAGATATGTTTTTTGGTGAGGTTTCCCGAACAAAATTTGTTTTCCTCCTTTTCCTTGGAGAATTACTTTGGATCAGCGTGTACAAGGCCATTTTTGGACGAGTAGAAGAATAAGTCCTCTCTTGACCAGTATGGTTCACGGATTTTTTTCTTCAATTTTGGAATCGATTTTTTTACGTAGCTTCTCTCGTTCTCCAAATTAAGCATTCTTTTGAAATTGATTTTAATTTGAAATTCTGAAAGCCTGCCTTGTGTTAAATACATTGTTTCTTCCTACTCGGCAAGGAGACGCGGAAGTAACAATTCGAAAAGGATAAATACTTTTGGTTTTATACAGTTTTGCAGCATTTTCTTTGCTTGTTTCTTTAATGCACTCCATTGAAACAAACCTGGAAGCCCACTGTGTGTAAATAAGTCGTTCTCCCCCCCCCCTCCTCATCTTAGGACAGTTCAATTCTAAGAACAAAGCAGAGGTAGAGCAAAGCATTCTAGATGTCTTCAGTAGAATTGAACTTTATTCATTGACCAACTTGTATTCGATGCCACTGATAACGGTAATCGTTTTTTCCCCCTGTTACCAAAGATCGGACGTAACAAGATAGTTCATTCCTCTCTTTGAGCCAATTAAAAAAGTGTCCACAAAATCCGGTGGCGCCCTCTTCGAAAAAGTGCGGACTTTGCGAACAGAGTCACCCTACTTGTGTGAAAAACAATAAAAGCGAAACTAACAAACTGTGCTATTCCTATTCTTCTTCTGGAGAAACGAAAGAGATCTTCAAAACAAAGACTGCAACGCCATCTGAACCAATGCGTGGACTTTCACGGACACTTTTTGGGCAGAGTGAATTATCTTGTTATGAGCAATCTTTGCTATTACTTCTTGACGAAATACATTTACCTGTACCACTAGTCCAAAAGGGACTGGGTATTACAAAAACTGGTAAGAGACTGCACCCCTTTCTATATTGCTTAAAATAGAGTCTGAGTGATCTTTTGCCAGAATGACATACATCTCCAATGGCGCCAGTCGGGCTAACAATAGAATCCCGACAATACTCATTACATGATTATTTCAAGTGCTGGCATCACTTAAAATGGTTGAAACGCGCTCTTAATGCGACCTTCCGGAAGTATTTATTTACTTTAGTTTCTTCAAACGTCAATAATATAATACATCATCATCACAAAGTCCCAGTTCTGAAACAGAAATCGGTGATCATGACTCGCCATTCGTCTGGTCTTTCCCTATCACCCATACGGTTTTCCAAGTACCTTGTTCTGGGTCTACGTCTGCCTCGTTTTGCCTCTATTTTTCTAGTGAGAGCAATACGTTCAAAGCGTTTTATTTCGATTCCCGTGTCCCATAAACTGCATTTATATCTTTTTAATTCTATTTTCCGTTATGACTGAGGGGCCCGGGTTGGCATCTTCCTGCATTATCTCATTTGATTTCTTTTCCGTCCTTGAAATTCTCACATTTCTCCTAAAAAACCACGAAGTATTGAAATAACAGACTGACATTTTTTCACTGAAAAAACCCCCTAAAAAACATCAGCCTAGGCAATATATTTTGTTACCCAAAACGTTGGTGCGGATGATTGGAGGACGCCCCTGGTAGGTCCTTCTTCTTTACTATCCCTCTATTATTTCTGTCTATCTGTCTGTTTCATTTTTCCAGAATTAAATGACCATTGTTGTGTCGATGTGCTTCCCTTAACTCAAAACAAACCAAATGTTGATTGCTGTGTATCGACGGACCATTTCAAAATCTTCACAACCACGAGATAAGTTCTTTATATTTGCAATGCAGACAGTGAATCGAATGCTAGTCATTAGTTCTCTCTCCTATAATGGACATATGCTGTTTTTGTATGTTTTTTTTAGTCAGAGCAGTGCTTTTCATCCTTTCTGTAGCCAGCGCCTACTCTTGTCCCCTTTTTTACAGGCCTTAATTTTCGTATCACCCACCTCTATGTACACCTATTTCCAGGCAGGGCATTAGATGATACCTGTCATTACCCGGGTGATCTTCACTGCCCTCTAGTGTGGTTTCGTCTAGGTTGTGTAAAGTCTATCAGTTGTCAGATATAAACAAGAAAAGATGCTAAGCATGAAAATAATTATTACTTATTATGTAATTGATAAGGTTAATTATTTCTTATAGTGGAATGTTGGTTTATTCTTCTAAAATCTGAGCCATCGATGTAAAGCTGTACCATCGTGAAAACGTCACATTTCTTTTGTTTCAGCTCCACAGAACTCTGGCTGTTATAATGTTCATCTTCACTGGGATTGGTGTTACAGTCATATTTGTACATTATGGCGCAGTCATACGTAAGGTTAGTGCTTTGCACAGACTAGGGATAAAGATCTAACTTGGTAAAGGCGGACGGATTTATAATACTAATATGTATGATAATGGGAACGTTTTAGTTTTATAAGGAAACAAAATGTTCTTGGTGCAAGACTTCCTATATTGTTTTAAAAGGGAAATAAACGTCTTCGTATTTGCATGCTTCTACATGATATGTATTTGGAAGATCACACATATCAAATGGCAAGACAACATGACAAACATGGAAATCCTTCATCGTGCCATCTCGTCTTTGGTTATGTCCCTCATTAGCAAAAGAAGCCTTCGAGAGCTATGCCATGTCATTGTGAGCAGAATGGATGATAGCCGCGTACCAAAATAAGTACTGTTTGAAGAATTATTGGAAGGGAAGCTTTTGTAACGTAGAGGAATACCAAAGTTGCGTTTCAAGAAGTGTTGTAAACATATTGAAAGCTGCATCATTGACCCACAGAATGGAGAAGAGCATGCTCAAGACTGTCATAAGGAAAACAAATAAGCATAAAGGATGGCCAAAAGCGACTGCCGTATAACACCTATTAAAACAAACAATTGCATAAAGATGTGAGACATGAGACAACTAGTTGTGACTGTTCAAGAAAAGTGAAATGAGCTAAGTCAACGACGAAAAATATCAGGACGTCGATGTACATCTCCCTAATCCAAGACTCATGCGCTTAAATACAACAAAGTCAGTCTCTCAGTCGCGGGATGAACCAGTAATAAATAGAACTGCTTACGAGAGATCTGCGGTTGAAAAAACCAGCAACACACTTTAACTTTAAGATTGTTTACGACCGACTGCGACAGACGGAAAGAGCCATAAAATAAACATAATATTATATGTGTGTGTTTAAATGTATGTGTGTGCATGCGTGTATGTGTGCGTGTATGTGTACGTGTGTGTGTTTATAGGTGTGTGTGTGTGTGT